AGAGAGTTAGTAGTGACTTAAAAAATTTGCGGCTTAAGGAGCAGACCTGAATCGAAAAACCCTCTACATTTAGTTTAAATTGCAACAGGTGCTGAATTTTTGGGTCCTTGGCAACTTTTGGTCAAATAGTGGAGATTTTTACGCAACTGTAAGCTCTCGATTGAAAAATCGTAACTTCTAATCCAGAGCAGATAGTGATCCAAAATTTTTGCTTTCCATAGATCACACATGTAGCTAAAACTGTGTAAAATTTAATTCAAATTGCATCAAACTCTGAAGTTTGCTCCCATTGTAAATTTGGTCTAAAAAATTTTATTTTTGAAGTTTAAATTGGAGCTGAAAATTTTCTGGTTTTATTTGAGCTTCTTCAAAAAAATCGCAACTGCAGAGCTAATAGCGCCTGATAATTTTTACCTTTTCTAAATCGCATGTGGATCTAAAGCTCTTCTAAATAAATTAAATCGTGAGTTGAGCTCTCATTGTAAATTTTGCTCAAAAATTCACTTATTCACGCAACTGCGAGCTGTCTATTAAACATTCATAACTCATAAATAAGAGTTAGTAATGACTTAAAACATTTGCGGCTTAAGGAGCAGACCTGAATCGAAAAACCCTCTACATTTAGTTTAAATTGCAACAGGTGCTGTATTTTTGGGTCCTTGACAACTTTTGGTCAAATAGTGGAGATTTTTACGCAACTGCAAGCTCTCGATTGAAAAATCGTAACTTCTAATCCAGAGCAAATGGCGATCCAAAATTTTTGCTTTCTATAGAATACACATGTAGCTAAAACTGAGTAAAATTTAATTCAAATTGCATCAAACTCTGAAGTTTGCTCCCATTGTAAATTTTTTTTTTTTTTGTGAGCTCCTCTATAATTTACAATCTATCTAACGATAATGAGTAAATATTATGGTAAATAATAATAACAGTTAAGCTATATATTACACTAATTGACATGCACAAGATGTTGCCCATCAGCAACACTTTCTAAGTTTTCGGTAGGTATCCCTACATTGTCCTGGAGCATGGAGGATTGCATTCTATTGGAATCTAACCGGTAATTCCAACGGATCGTATCGTTTAAGGCGTCTTGTGGTGTTGCTTCTGAGCAGGTTGGCAACGAGCGCGTTGGGGTGCTTTCCGAGTCTACTACGATATTTTATACTGACTTTCTTGATTTCTTCTTGTATTGAGGGTACTTGAAGGTCTTGTTGGATGACCCAATTTGGCACAAA